AAAAAAAAAAAAAAAAGAGAAATCATAAATGAGATTTCAAAATACTTTGAAATGAATAAAAATGAAAACAAATTTATGAGCTTCCGTGAAAGCGGTGTTTAGAGGGAAAGCTGTAGCCAAAGCCTACATTGACATGAAACTGGAAAAGAGCAAACTAAGCCAAAAATGAAACAATACAGATTACAAATAAATAAAATGGGGACAAAAAAAAGAATCAGTAAAACCTAAAGTTGGTTCTTTGACAAGATTTTTAAAAATTATTAATCTTCATCTAGACTGATTTTTATGACTAAAATTATTAATATCAGGAATAAGGGATTATCATTAGGAGAAATTTAAGAAGTGGTTATGGGATATAATATCCAGACTTACCTGTAACTACCTCCTTCTTAGGCTCATACATCCTGGGCTATTTATTCCCCTTCCCTAATCACCTTAGGCCAAGATCTCAGACAGCTTGAAACAGCCCCTATATTCCAAGAGGGTGCCAGAATAAGCTTGCTAACTCTTCTCACCAGTTCCTTATCACAGAAGCCACTTGCTCTCTACCCTCCTGACCTACACTGTGGTACACCTGTGTACCTGAGTAGCATGCTATGCCTCCAGTTCCTAGAGATCTGTAAGAAGAAAACCTTCATATGTCTATGTCTCTTGTTAAGCCTTGGGCATGCAGACAATAAGGGCATTAAGATAGAATAAAGAGTGAATATATAATACTCTAAGTGAAAATGGCCCATAGACACTTAGCTCTGTCTGGCATTTATAGAGGGTGTTAGTGCTAGAGCTGTGAACAGCTAAGATTTGAACCCACAGGCCTGGATTAGATCACCCTGAAAAGAGGTTTCCAGAAGAGAGGAATATGAAGACCCTGATAAGAGAAAGAGACTGATAAAACTTTAAAAAAAAAAAGTGAGAAGTCTGTGGGATTAGAGGAAAACAAGAATATGGGATCATAAAAGCAAATTATTTAAATATTAGAAAAAGATGATCAACACTGACTGCTATCAAGATTACATAAAAGAGGGCAGAAATGTTTTTGTATTGCCGATATCCCCAAATTAACAGCTAAAAGAAGTAACTTGTCTTTCACGATTCTAAATTGGAAGGGCTTTGCTGGATATTTCCTCTGTTCCACATGATATTGCTAAAGTTGTTCCTGTGGCTGCTTGCAGTTGAGGCTTTGTGAGAGCTAAAACATTCACAAATGGCTCTTTTAAGTCTCTGTCTGCATGGTTCTCATTATTTAATAGTATAGCCTGGGCTTCTTTACAGTATGCTTGTGATTCACAACAAGCCCAATGTACAAGCATTTCCCCGCCCCTCTTTCCCAACTCTTGGCTCTGCCATGACTCTCTCTATATAAAGTAGGTGAACAACCTTCTCAGCCTGCCTCTTACCCAGGATTCAACCAACAAGGCCTTTCACTATGGAGGGATCTCTACCATTTCTTTACCAATCCACTATCATTGTAAGTTTTCTGAAAACATGCACAATCCTCTTTGAGATTGATCCATCTACTTTGGCCCATACATTCTTCTAATATATCCTAATTTCTTAGCTCTGACAGAAGAGCCCCTATCTTGTCCTCTTGACCTTTCCAGGACCTACCAGTTCAGTACACGTATTTGGTATGGTAGCAAAATGCCCTTAGGATTCTTAGAAGCCTTTCGGGAGAAGCGTCTACAAATTACCAGCTTAAATATTTCCTATGTCCAAAGGGTAGTTACCAAGCTACATTCTTCACAGATTCATATTTTTAGAAATTCTTTTTGCAGCTCTAGTTTGAACCCAGAGCCTCACACAAACTAAGCAAGTGCTTCACCACTAGAACTGCAACTTTGATTTTGAATCTTTTTTGAATGCTTTACCCAGCAGGCCCAGCACCAGTCTGTAACAATGGAAAGACATCGCTCTCACTGGGACACTGTAAAGAATAAAAAAAAAAAATACTTGTACACAGTGAATACTCAAATAGAGGAAGATAAAGATGGGGGCTTGTGATCCAAACCATCTGCAGCAAAGCCCCTGGCTCTTCCCAATGAACTGAGAGGAGGGTAACACCAATAGCCCACAAGGATTTGTTTCCTAGTCCCACAAATCAGACCAAGAGTCTAAGGAGACTAGGTTCGGACTATCTACTATTTTTCACCATTACAGGTGAGCTTAGGAAGGTCAAACATTCTCCAGACCTCCCAAACAGTACATACGGTCTAAGTCAGAAGATGGGGTATGCAAACTTGCTTTTGGTGCTACTGCAGTGTTTCTGACCTCCCTGCTGTCATGCAGGGATAAAGAAGCCTCCGTTTCTGATGCTTCTGCTGCCTTGGGTTCTACAAAGCTTCACTTGGTCTCCAGGGACATCTGCCTACTTCCCGTCTCCTCCAGAAGCATCCCACTGCCTGTGATGTGCTGCCTGGTGTGTTCCTTCCTCCTTGGCTCCTCTCAACATCTCCAAGGCAAGACCTTACCCTTACACATTCATCCCTGATCTGTCTCTTCTGCCCTTTGCTAAAGCTAAGCCCAAGCTTCCTCAATGAACTTATACTTACATCTCCCTTTACCAGAAGGCCAAACCTTCTCACAGAGGCCCTGAGCCTGGACTTCCTTTTGCTACTCCTGTAACACTGGCACCAGTAGGAACCCTGTGTGGGATGCAGGCTGTGGGGGGTGTCCATAAGTGTTCATCAGTAAGCACAATAGCACCTTGCCAACATGCCTTTATATCCTTTCTTCCCATCTGGCCATTACTCTTCCCAAGCAATATAGCTAATAAAATAATAAAACACATTACCTTTTGCATTCAAGTCCCCCAAAATAATAAGGAGCTTATTAGCATAGATTTGACATTTTTAAATAATGTCCTCCAATTCAATAAAGAAAAAGGGAACCAAAAGTCAAAATTAGAATTCAGATTTTTTTCTTTCAGAAACACATTTTATACAACTTTCAACATATATACTTTCAAACAAAAGCAACAAAGAATACACAGAGTGCTAAAAAAGTCAAAACAGAAGTAATACAATTTTAATTTCAATATTTTAAAATACAGAAATTGGAAAGAATACCAAATACAACTTTAAACAAGTCACTTGTCTTCCCCTATAATAACCAATATAAGCTACTTAAAGACTTACAAATTCAGATTAAAACAGAAACAAAATAAATACTGTACACTTTCCCTGCCTGCAGGCAAAAGATGGGAAATACTGTTATGAATCAAAACAAATGCTCTTAAAGCTTCTGCACCCCACTCCCCAGCCACACCCTCCCACTGTCACACAGTGTGCTTCTGTATTCCCAGACACACATGTGCACACACACTGGCCGCCTACACACATAGATGAGACACTACTCCATAGACACCCCAAATGAGAAGGGTAACAGTCACCTGGGACTGTGGGCATAAAAACCAGTAAGGAAAATCAGTCAGGCTAGCAAAACATTACTACAAAACTAGTAAATACCATAGCCAACAACTGTCCCCTTTTCAAATTTCAGAGTTAAACCCCCTAGAACCAACACTACCCCCCTCCCATCACTACCCTCCAATACCCCCCTAAAAGGAAACTTGCTGAAGCACTGGCAAAAAGTTAGACATTTCACAATAAATGTGAAAATTCATATTATATAATCTCTTAAAATGAACCTTTTCACCCTCTTTCCACAGCATGAAACTGTTATGGCTTAATTTATATTAAAAGTAGAAAAGTCTTTTCCAAAGGAAATACAGTCTGCGAGATGCACGTGCATTTCCTGATCAGTGCTATTTCATACCTAACAACTGCATGACTTGCTTTTGCAGTCAGAAGCTGTTTTTGGAAAAACTGAGGTTATAGCTTTTGATTCAGTCTAACCATAAACTGTAAGGCCCTTAGTTTGGTTTAGGTTTCTTTTGCAAGATAAAATAACCTTGGGGTTCACTTAGCAAGTTATACCTCAGGTCCCTGACTATAATGTGGAAGTTATATGCATGTATTGTAAAAATAAAAGTTTAATTATGAATCTTAGAGGGAAGAAATAATTCTAGGCAAGGAATTAACTGATTATATATTACACATAATGCTGATAATGTTTAAATCCATTAAAGTTAGAAATGTTTAAGTACATTAAAGTTAGCATCCACCAAAGAAATATGTGTATGTCTGAGTTATTTTATTCCTGCAAAACGTTATATATTCTAGCACTTATAATTGTTTGGGTGAGAAATCGTGGGGGAGAACAGCTGATATTTTGTGAAAGAAATGGCCAAAATAAAACTGGTTGAATGCAAGGTGTTTTTCCCCCCTTATTCTGTTTATGACTGTTTTCTAAAATAAAGGTAAGTAAAACCAGAATGTCACAAGTCTTGCATAGGTCAACTACTTGGAGGTCAAGAGCTACGTGGTAGCCAGAATTTTATTAATGAAATAGTGCAGAGCAGATAAACTTGCTGGAAGAATCTGTAGGTAGAGTTTCTAAAATGTTTCTGACAAAAACATGTTACAGTTGTTAAGACAAAGTTTTAAGACATTAGAAGGGGTATCAAGGGTAAGAGGAAAAATATCTCAAGTGAGCCTTATTTTTCTCCTCCCCAGTAGAATGAAAAATTACTGTAGATGAATAAAACCAGTCAGTCACAATAAGCTACCTGCTTTGGAAATAGGCATTTGGTTCTTAATAACCTTAATTTAGGGGGAAAAAAGTACTTATGGAAAGGACATTAAATATTTATTTGAATTAGGGCATGATGTTCACTGAAAAGCAGATTAAAATAAAGGAAGAGTTTTTAGTAAGGCTACATACAGCATTAAGATTATTTTATGCTTAATAACAATTTATTGAGTATATTAATTTTCTCTCTGTTCACCTAGCTTCAAGGAAGCATATGGATGTCTTTCACAAGACAATTAGAGACTGAACAGTATTGCAGAAGCAAGATACAGGAGGTCCTAGATCCACTGTGTCTCCAGGAAAATCCATGCCCTACTTGGGTTACACTGGTCTCCTTTACTGACCAGCTTTCCTTATTAACCTAGAGACTGCTTTGGATCAAGGTCAAGGACATTAGGAAAGAGAAGAGCCTGAGCTTCCCACCTCACCCCCTCTATGCTGGCAATCAAACTCAGGACCTTGCAATAAGTAGCAATCAATTTAATATTTAATGAGAAAAGTAAATTTTGGAAAAAGTAATTTACTGTTACATTATGAAGATACCAGGTATCTTCCATGTGCAAACTAAAAATGATCGTTTACTATAGCAGTTACTCTTCTCATCTCTTAGGGAGTGATCTTACTCTTAGGTGAAAAGCATTTTCTAAAACAAGCAGTTAACTCTTCTTTTGAGTCTGCCCTCCAAACCACCAATGACCTTTCTCTTTACCCAACCTATTGTCACCAACCTGGAGCTGTCCTGTGGAGTCCCAGCTTCCTTATCACCTTATTTTCCTTTAGTCTTGTGGGTAGTTGCTAAAACACTAATTCATAACTTATTTTACCTTTCCTCTAGTTCCTGACAAGCATGCCAAATCTGAGAAGCAGTACTACCTTAATTCCTCTTTGAGAAAAACCTAAAGCTATCTTTCCACTATAATAACTCATCTTAATGTACTTGAGGATGAACATTCTCAATATGTTTTCCAAACACTAGCTCAGTTCTTTTTCTTTCACTTCAAGCATAGATTCTGCCTTTAACTTAGCACCTTGTTAGAGGTTTTTCACATTTTTTAGGTAGCCTGCTCTGGGTATATATTTGATTTGAAAGAAGTTTTGTGAATAACAAGAATTTTCACTTAAATTTTATATATAAAGGTAAATTCATTATCAATTGTAACTTATAATAATAAATTCTCTATATGTGAAGTACTAAGTAATGCTTTCTTCTCTGATTATCCTAATAAGCAACTTTACTTAAATGTACAAATTAAAAAAATGGACTCAGAAATATTTAGAAAAAAATGACTTATTCAGGGTCACACACTGACACAAAAGTGGCAGAACTCAGACCAGAACTCAGTTCTTTTGTTTTTTTCTAAGCTGTACTACTTCATTACATTACCAATTAAACTACTAACTTCTGTTATGCTTCTTAAATGTTAAAGAAGTCAGGTCTTTTTTATTTTTTTGCTTCCACTTTTACAGTGGTATGTGCCTTAGTTAAAATTAATGAAGTTATGGGAATGTGCTGTTTTTTTAAACGACAAGGGCCCTCTTTTGCTCTAGTTTATTTAGATATAAAAATAATACTGCTAATTTCCTGGAGAAGACACCTTTATCGGCAGAAACCACAACTGCAACAATATTCTCCTACAGTATTAAATAGTTCTGGACACACAGTAGATGTCTGATAAATACCTGCTGATCTTATATGAATAAATACAGTAGAGTACATTGAAAAGGCAATAATTAGGATAATCAAAACATAGATCTGTATTTATACTAAATATTTAATGATAAGATCCATTTGTTTCTTCTGAGTTTCTGATGATTTCAGTATAGAATGTTCAATTTTGCACACCTCAAAGATGAACAGGTATTTATGAAGTTTAACATATTTCTAGGTTACTGAGCTACTGTAAACTGCCTGCTTTGTACTGTTAGCACATTCACCAATGTTGGAAAGTATTATATTACAAGATGTTGTGAATTACAGTACAGTGGATCCCAGGTTGAGTCATTTACTTGTATTCATATAGAAAAAGTACTACTATTATTGTAGTTGCATACATTCAATCACTAATTCTCAATTTTACATATTTATATTTGCTTATGACTAGCTAAATATTATCATTAATGTCCTCTTGTGTAAGCTGTGGTACAGTATCTATTAAGTGAGACTAAGGGAAAGACAAAGGTTACCTATTGCTACTGAACCCAGAGTGGGCAAGAGTCACCTCAAGGTTCAGCCACTTCCATGAGATAAAGGGTGTATCATGGCCATTACCTTTATAAGAGGCCAAGTACAAAAGTCATTAGATCAGTGGCTAAAACTTTTCACCAATTCAGAAAAAGATACATGGGTTCACTTATAGTGGTTATATTACCTTGCTGAAAGTTTTGTGACATAACTAGTTAATGGACTAAAATGCAAAATTGAATCCACAGTACCTTTACTTAGAAAATCCCACACATTAGCTACTCAACATTAGTGTTTATTGGCCTAAGGACACAGGGTGGATGGATACTGGCCACAATTTTAATTCATAAAAATAAGTTAATTTTTATTTTAATTTTTATAACTAAAGAAAAAAGTTCTTTAGAGTTGTGCAAAATGTAGAGGGAAAATAAGTCCAGATCCTGAAGTAACTGGAAAAAAATTATACTTATTTCTTAAGCTAATATAAAAATGTATATTAGAACACTAAAACAGAAAACCAAGACATCACAGTGATATATTGTGAGAAGGTGAAGGAATCAGTCAAACCAGACTTGTGCATCTTGAAATATGCTGACCAGTCAGTGGCTGACTGCATCCATCTCTCCACTACTTATGGCACAGTGCAGACAGGGACTAAGAAGGCAGTCTACAGAGATTAAGAATTTCCAAAAGAATTATTCTTCCTGACACTCAAATAAGATTTCAACTTTGGTTCTCACAGTCAAGAACCAAAAAAGAAATTCATAAGTTACTCCATTGCTATCCCATAAAATATTATAGTGGAGAAAGAGTAAAAAATATTTCTTTTTGGAAATACACATTTGAATACAACCATAAAAGATATTTAATACAGTAGGAACAGTCTCATTATCTTGCTCAGCCAAAGAAAAACCCATAAACTAAAAATAAATTTCAGTCTATTTGCCTGTTTGTGTAATGCTTGCTATATTGTTAGATTTGGGAATAGCTCCACCATTTCCCACAATCATCATTTTTATGCCACCAGGGGAAAAGGGGAAAATTATAAACAACTGAAAACTGGTATTAATAAAAACTGTACATAAAAAAGAAAAATGATTAAATTAAAAGTTCAACCCAATAGCTAACTGCAATATGCACTAGATGGAAGAAACTGCAAAAGCACCCATTTACTCCAAATCTGTGTCTGAAATAATTTTTTAGAAGATTGAGAAATTAAAAAAAAAACACATACACAAAAGATCTAGTCCAACATGCTTCTATACAACTTAATTATATAGTATAGTCCTATTGTATTACAGCTTATTGTGTACGTTTGAATATCCTAAGTCAAATCATACATATGCCTTTAACAAATTAGGTCTAGAGACTAAAGTATCCTAAGATTTAACCTCTGCAGCAGGTGTTGGCCCTGTCCTCCAACACAAGCAATATGAAGGAGGCCCTCTATAGTTACAAATGTATTTGGAAAAACTATAAATGTGACAATTTAATCAAATCTCTATTTTTCCCCTCAAGTAGCTAAAAGATATTAAAGCTGTTCTCTTTGGGACCCAGATATCATTGGGAGAAATGAAAAATGTAAGAAGCTATTTCTTCATATTTAGAAGAAAACCACAATGTCAAAGGAAATGAGAAGCGAGGGATCTTTTGTGTTTTTACAGATTAGCTATGGAAGTGTTTCCCTGCAGAGAAAAGTTTTGTTGGGTCATCTCAAAATGATGGGGGTGCAGAGGGAAGGTGGGGTGTAAGGGAATCAACCTGGATAACAGTATGCACCTTGGATGTTAGCAAAAGCGAAGCTAATAGCTTATAAAAAACACATGAAATATATAAAATAAAATGATTTTCATATACATCTTAATTTAAAATAATTAATGCATCAAATCCCTGTTTAAGACTTTAACCTGAATATCAAATTTAAGAGTCCAGACTAGTTACTGTTACTGTGGCTCTTTCCCACATGTAACACACATACTATCAAAAATAATTTAAAAACCTTCACATTCTTAAATCTAAATTAGTGAGATATTTCTCCAGAAATCTTCCAAATAAATAGCTTTAAAAAAGAAAGAATTTATAAGCTGTTAACTTAAAAAAATCTGTTAAATAAATTATTGATAATTCTTTACACTACTACTGAAAATAAATCAAGACACTACCAATAACAAAATGAAATTCAAGCCCTGACAAGAGACCCTTTCCAGTTCAAGGTCTCTTTTTAAGGTTCCACCCTCCTTCTTCCTCTCCCCACCAGGTCCAAAGGGTTATTGCTGAGTGGGTGTGGCACAGTAAAAATGCAGCATCAGGTTCATTCTGTTCTTCGAGCAGTGTTCTTACTAGACAGAAAACAGCTCCAGGCAGGGGGACAACAGAAGCACCAGGCTCCCGTGCCCCAAGACTGGCCTCCAAAGGGAAGAGAGGCTGTGACAGCAGCTCTATCACACGAAGAAACGTGCATGACCATTTCTGTTCAATTTAAGGATCTTCCCAAGACGTTGTTTGGCTGTTGCCATTCCTTTTTTTGGACGTTTACCTATAAAACACCAACAGCACTGTAAACAGTAACGAAAAGCATACTTGCCAGACAGTATCTGAAAGACAAAGGGAGAGCTTTATGGTAAGTAAGCCTAGTAGGTGTTCTGAACCCACAGCCATGCTTCAGGAATTCTACTATTTAACACCTTTCTAGTTCATCACAATAGGGCCAGAAAGTCAGCCCCCTTCCAAACTATGCTTCAACAAAATGGACTCTTAATGTCATCAATACCCATGGACCACTCACTGTCCCCTCTATGCCTTGGGTCATGCTTTCCTCCTGTCTGTTACTTCTCCCAACTCAGCCTGGTTAACTCCTTATCACCCTCTTTTAGGCTCTACCTCCTCCTGGGCCTTAGGAAGTGATTCCTGTTCCTCAGGGTAGGCTTGGGTATACTTCTTTGTTCCACAGTAGCCCATACATACTGCTATCACACTGCAGTCCATGTTGCAGGAAATAGGAGCAACTTAAGTGTTAAACTGTTACTACTGTTACCACAGAGATGAAGAAATGCAATTAACTTTCAAATGTGTCAAAGTTACCTTTTGTTGCCTGGTTGCTGATAGGTGGTGGGTTTGATGCTGGTCTCTTGGTGGGGTGAAGGGGCACTGAAAAGGAAGATTCACCAAGAGGCCTTTCTGGGCTTAGACTGCCATTTCTTATCTGGCACGGCCCTGAAACCAAGCTGGGATTCTGTATGTACTTCCCATTCTGAAGGCTGGAGCCACTGCTGTCCACATAATGCCTACTTTGAACCTTTTGACTGATTTCTGATGAGCCTTCCTTTTTGATGCATTTCTGGCTTCTACTTAGGTCCTAAAGAAAGAGGAAAGAAAGGGAGCTGAATTTTTAGGGTTTAAATAAGTAGGGTGCCAGGCACCAATGGTTCACACCTATAATCTTAGTTACTCAGAAGACTGAGATCTAAAAATTGAGATTTGAAGCCAGGCTGGGCAGACAAATCTACAGGAGTCTTATTTCCTATTAACTAACAAAAAGGTAGAAGTGGAGATATGGCTCAAATAGGTAGAGCACTAGCCTTGAGTGAAGAAATAAAGTAAGGTATTTCAGCATTTTATACATTAAGTCATGACACATGAAATAAACAGAGAAGTTTGGTTTTCTTGGTACATATTAAACCACCCTTCATGAGTTCATCTCAGTTTATAAGAGACCTAACAAGTCAAATTAATTTGAACTATTCAGGCCTTGAAGCTGCATCATTAATTTAACTGAGAGTTTGGAGGAAGGGTATGAGTCAAATGCTAGAGTGGAGGCCCTGAGTTTAATCTCCAGTACTATTTCAAAAAAGGAAAAAAAATTAAACATGAGCTTTAAATTAGCCTTTTAGAATTTTTAAGCATGAAGAAACAAGTGCTATGATCATGCTCTAATAATAGTTACAGGTAAAAGAAATATGACTTTCTCTGCTTGTGCTCTTATTCATTATCTGCCCATCTGCTTCTTCTTTTTTCCTTTTCTTTTTTTGTTCAAGACTAAAGCTCTACTACATTGAGCCACAGCTCCACTTTAGCTTTTTTTTTTTGTCAGTCATGGGGCCTGAACTCTGGGCCTGGGTGTTGTCGCTCAGCTCTTCAGCTCAAGGCTAGCGCTCTACCACTTGAGCCACAACATCACTTCTGGCTTTTTCTGCTTATGTGGTGCTGAGGAATAGAACCCTGGGCCTCACGCATGCAAGACAAGCACTCTACCACTGAGCCATCTTCCCAGCCCCCACTTCAGGTTTTCTGGTTAAATGGAGGTAAGAGTCTCATGGATTTTCCTGCCCAGGCTGACTACAAACTGTGATCCTCAGATCTCAGCTAGGATTACAGGCATGAGGCACTGCTGCCCACTTTCACTTCTTTTTGCTTATTTACAGTGCTGGGATCAAACCAGGGGCTTGCACGTGTTACTACCAACCTATATCCTCAACCCTTCTTCTTTTTCCAAAGACTAATTACAGAAATAGGTAGAGTTAAATAATCCCTTATTTTTTAATATAAAATCTTCTAATGCTAATGGTAGTACATAAAAACAGTGAAACAGGGCTCGGAAGGTGGCTCAGTGGTAGAGCACTTGCCTTGCCTGCTTGAGGCCCTGGGTTCAATTCCTCAGCACCACATAAGCAGGAAAAAAAAGCTGGAAGTGGTGCTGTGGCTCAAGTGGTAGAGTGCTAGCCTTGAGCTGAAGAGCTGAGGGACAG